TCTCAATGAGGATTATTAATTGAATTAATTTTATTCCTTTGCCTTCCCAGTGGAACATAAGGCTTCAAGCTAGAGCTAATGAAGTTTCGATAGCAGCGATGTTTTATTTTTACCCGGTAGGGATTGCTAGTCTCACGCTCACCCTCTCCCTCTCTCTTTGACGGACTTAAGCGAAGTTTTGGAATGTGTCGGCCAGGGATTGAACTCCGGATTACCCGAGTGGCGGGAGAACACTCAACCTGTGAGCCACCGACACACACACACTTAGGCGCTGTACAGGATGGAAATTTAGACAGTCCAGTGATTTAAGCACGCCGCCACCTACTACCACCTTCGCTAGGTATTGGAAGATCAGCAGGACTACTAGTCAGAACAGAGATAGGCAACACACAAGGAATTTTAACAGTTGGCGCAAGAAAAAAGGCAATAACCCTAGCTTCTCAGTCAAATGGGATAGATTAAGCATACACTGAGAAGACATTCAAATGGTATCGCGTATATCAGACCACTGAATCGAATGTGTTTACACACACTTGAGGAGTAATTAGAAATGGTTTTTCACAGTTGTTGTTGTTTTTTGTACATAGATTTTTAGTATAGACTGATTTTAGCCTAAGGCTATAATATATGCTGCTGTCTCAAACACTGGCAATAAAAAAAGTAGCGTCTATATATACATAAATGCAGTCTGTATTCTGTAGACGTTCATTTTATTTAATCCTTTTTACGGTTTACTTAAGTGTAGAATTATGTTTGTGTAAAGGAAGTTGTCTCTACAAGCTTCTCTTTTTTTGTTTTTTACAATGTAATATATATATAATATGAAGTATAATATAACTTTTTTTCTCTCTTATCATTGAACTCGACAATTCATATAAGAAGTCTAACTGTATTTTTCAGGTTATTGTAGTGTAAGTTTTTAAGGATTTACCTGACTACCCAACAAAATTACTTTATGTGGAGTTTTACAGTCAGCTGTACACTGGATTTGGATTTCATTTATACATATATATATATATATATGTATATATATATATATATATATATATATATATAACGACCAACTCGCTGATTCCCACTCGGGTTCCACTCGATTGGTGGCTTGGCATATGATGCCAGTTTATGGTTTTCTCAGAGTATGGCCTCCAATCCACCTGCATTTCTTCCTGCATATTTGTTGCACAATTGGTTCCTGCTGGGTTGGTTCGCTCATTGTCAGAGATGCCTCCCTGTTGCTGTTCTTTTCTGGCCGGCCATCTGAGCTATTGATGAAGGTCTGTAGTTTGTTCGAAGTGCCCTTCGTGACGCGGCACGGCGCGGTGCCGAGTCTTTGATTCGTATAGTAAGTAGCAATGACTTTACATTGGAATTGAAAATCCGGATATTGTTTTTCATACTGAGTGCTGAGTGTTGATCTCCACACAGACTTGAGAGTAATAAAAGCTTGCCTTGCTTTTCCGATCCTCTCCACTTTGATTTCCTCATCAGTTCGGTCCGCCTGTAGTTGAAACGATGCTTCCCACGTAGTTAGGTAGGTAAAGAAGGTTGCTTCTTTCAGATTTCTCTCATTTATGCTGATTGTTGTCTATTGTTTTTGTTATTGCTGTTGCTGTTGGCCAGGAATCTTCATCACCTACCTCTGTTTTCTCTATGTTCACCTGAAGTGCTATCTTTGATTGTCAGTTTTAGCCATGTGGAAAGATGTAGACTGCCTGGCTTGGGTCTTCAAGACTCCAACAGACTGTTGCTAATATAACTCAAAATTGTTCTCCACAGACCAGATGCATTCACTCTTTATAATCCCATAAATCCATTAAAATTATCATTTATCTCCAAATTGGACTACTGCACTTTACAGCAGTAATGTTCAGTCCTACAACTCCTTATATGTAAATAAACAATTAAGTGATAATTCATAAAATAGAATTGAAGAGCTAACCTAAAGAATAGCGGAGATTGAGAACTCAACAATAACCTTGAGAGTATTCCATTTTTGATTATGAAAAATGAGAAGGAATAATAATAATAATAATTTGCAAAGGAAGCAAAGAACATCCTCGAGAAATTTAACGAAGTTCATCCTGCAATAAATCTTACCATTGAGAATGAAAAAGACTCAATTATTTCATTTCTAGACGCCCTTATAACCAGAATAGAGGATGACACAATAAGAAGAAGTGTATATAAAAAAGCCTACATCAATGGGTCAGTATACTAATTTTTCAGCTTCGTGCCCTTGAAATACAAGTGCAATCTGATAAAGTGCTTGGTTCACACAGCAAAAACAATCCGCTCGGATGAATGTCTTAATGAGGAACTTAATAGTATTAAACGGTTGCTGAGTGCAAATGGTTATCCAGAAAAGTTTATTCATAAGAATATGAATCTAAAATCAAGGCAGCCCAAGGTAACAACCGTTCCTAAAAAGGACTTATTCTTACAAATGCAGTTCCTTGGGGACAACATCAGAGAGATACTAACACAGCGCCTTAGAAATGCGGTAAGAAGAGCATTCCCTGCTGCCAAATTACGCTGTGTCTTTAAAACCACTCCTCTCTTGCATTCGGGAGTAAAAGACAAACTGACTAATTTTGTCTTTTCTATGTGTATCTACCAATTTAACTGCTCCTGTGGAGCCATTTACATAGGCCGTACAATTAGGCGTGTTTCTCGTCGAATTTCCGAACATCACCCTGTGTGGTTAAGCAAAGGACAGACAAAATCTATTCGCAGCGCTATTCTATCTCATCTTGTGGATACACAACACAAGATTGATGTCAACGAGGCAGCTTTCAAAGTCATCTCTACCGCATACCAACAAATCTTAACTTCACCTTAAGAATTCGACTACTAAATATTGCTGAAGCTGTTGGGACCCATATTAACAGGCCAAATTTGTGCATCCAAAAGAAGTTAGTTCAGACATTATCCTTACCTTGGCCGTCTAGGTTTGAATGATCCTCAATTTTGTGGGATTTTCCTAATTTTAGTTGATATTCTATTTGCTACTGTATCTTTGTTATTATTATAATTCAAGCATCTTCAATGAACTATAACTCCATTGATCTTACTTTATAAATCAAAATTATTTAAAAATCACTGATATTGTTATTGACTACTGTTCTAGAATATTCTATGTATATAAATGTACAATATATATAATTGTAGAGCCAGAAGAGGAAATTATCGAAAGAGGAATATTCTTTCCTCAGTTATTTTGTGTTTTATAGTATTCCATTCACTAGATCACAGAACCTAGCGTTATTACAGTGCCAGCATGAACACTGTACAACAATCAGTGTGCAAATTTCATCATGAACTCGTTGTGAAATGTAATTAGGATAGTGGGTTGATGGTACGTTATAATTACAATTAGGCCTAGGGGTTAGGGAGTTTTATTATTATTATCTATCTTTGCCTTGTAAATAAAAAAGTGGGAGGAGAGTGTTTCCTTGTTCATATACATAAGACTCTTTTGATAGCTATGAAACTTGAAAATTGATACCCTTTATTGTAATTGGGAAGCATTTCCAGTTACGTTAGGGTGAAATACCGTCTTTAGTGTGTTTTATTCTTATGACTGGTGTGCTTCCGAGGTTATTGGTACGTTGTCACTGCATCATCGCTAACCTTTTCAGTTGGCCAATTGAAAAGATGTCATCATACTTCGCCTCAGTAAAATTCAATGCTACGTATGTTATCTTCATTAGATATGCATCCATGAAGTGGGCATTTGATCACTTGTCATTTAATAAACTCTGCCAAAAGATTCTCATCAACGACTTTGATGCTGATATAAAGAATGGAGGCACTACATCATACATAGACTAGCATAAAATGTGCATGAACCGTTTGACAAACGCTTGGTTAGAGAACCATTGAATACCAGCCACAGGAAGTACTGGACAGATGCTGTTTCATCCTAGTTTGGGAATCCTAGGCAGTACGCACCCACTAGGTTCCGAACCCAGGGCAAGCTCGTGTATACTGATATCCATACGTGATCAAACTCGTAAAAACAAATCTAATCCTTATAAACCAACTATTGAAGATTAATCTGATGCTCGCTAGTCAGTGACTGGCTACAGGACCGAGTTTCCTGCAATTCTAGTGAGAAGTCGTGACCAGTGAGGTCCATCCAGATGTCACGTGTGAGGATGGACGTCCCACCAACGATAATGGTTGGAGTCGCGCTAAATCACGAATTGGTAGAAGTTAGAATTTATGGACTTGCCATTGAGTCAGGTGGGTCCCAGTGGCTGAATGGTATACGAGCTTTCCTTGTAACCGGAAGGTGTCCTGGGTTCGAACCCTGGAGGTGGATGCGTACTAATGATGAGTCCCAAGCTATTTTGGCGAAACAGCTGTCCAGTACTCCCTATGGCTGGTTATCAATGCTTCTCTAACTGATATCAATCGGTGATCTACCTCGAAAAAAAAATCAACTCTTGAAAAGACTTAATTTTTACACAGTAAGGTACCTCCATCATCCCATCATCTCACACACAAGTAAGTGGTGTGCAGTGATAAAGTTTTTAAAGCTGATAGAAATCGATAATAATCAGCTCTCCAGTTTGTCAAAAGATTTTGTTCCATAGCGTTCCTAAGTCAACATATAACTTCAAGGCGGAGTTTTGAAGTTGCAATAGCAGTGGTTTTATTTTTACAAGTCGAAGCGTGAGGCGGGGAGGGGAGGTTACTAGCCTCACGCCCAACCTCCTCTCTTTACTGGACGTACTAGCAGCTAAGCGAAGTAAAGCAATGAGTCGATCGGAGATCAAATGAAACGCCGGACCACGTGAGGCGTGATTGGCCGGCCAGTGTTCCACCTACTGAACCACCACCAATCCCACCGATAGCTCCTTAAATGACTTTAATTGGTTGCATTTTGAAATTTTAATGTTGTTTTTTTCAAATTTCAAATCAGTCTCAATCGAAAATGATAAAACACACACACGCACACACACAGAAACAAACAAAAAAGAGAATTTTTTTCTTACCTGGAAATAATATCCTACTTATCATTCCTGGGATCACCATAATGAATAATGGGAGTTGTTTAATCAAACCAGCCATTAATGTGGCGCCTTGTGCATGAGACAAACTTTTAGCCGCCAAAACACGTTGTACCATCATCTAAATTTTATTTCATATACAAGAAGAAGAAGAAGAGGGATTGAAAAATCGAAGAAACGTAGGTAAATAAGTGGAATTTATTGTTGCAATTTTTCATTCAATAAATAGGAAATAGTTACAAAAACGACACTGATAAACATTCATGACTACAAATTTACTACCAATAATATTTAACAAATTGAATCATACCCAACACTCATCCACCTAAACCCAACCTCCCACCCACCGACCCCATCTAATTCAGTATGAATAGAATGGATAGGGGAAGACTTAGATTGTTGGATAGTGTCGTGATGGACCAACAGTTGTACACATCAGAGGAAAATAATGCGAAAGCAACAGTGTTTCAACAAGGAGTGCGTGATAATTGAACACCTTATCAACATTGTTGCTTCTGTCTCAAATAACATCTGTCTCCTTCAAGGTAACCGATGGATGTAAAGAACAACCTATCAAAGACAATATGCTTTCGTCTCCTGTGCACTGCCCTGAAGCTCTAGTCATTCAGGTACAGGAACTGGGGATCATTGATATAGGAATAATACTTGTGCACTGTGGTAGAGTATAATTCCATTATGGGTAAAATTTATTTTGAATCGGAAAATGAACAAGGATAATTAGTTATGATGTTAGATTGTAAAATAAAACGAATAGAAGAAGGTAAACTGCACACTAGTGGTGTTTATAAAAAGTCAACGCATTCTGCTAATAGATATTTAGACCTTAATTCATCTCGTCCGTTATCTATCTGTGAAGGCAGGCTTATTTAAGTGTCTAACAAACCAGACAATAGCACTAAGTAGTACAAGAAAAGACCTGAATGATAAAATAAAACAGATAGGAGAATAGCTGGTTGGTGTTGAATAACTATTCTTCCAAATTCACTAAGAAGATTAGTAAAGGTCATAAGCAAAATCAAAATAATAGGGGAACTAATAATGGTAACATAAATAAGACAGAATACAAAGCATCTACATTAGTTTTACCATATATGGAGGGGGGACATCTGAGACCCTCACCATGTAGGATTCTTAGTAAACCAAGAATTAGAGTGGCATTTAAATTTACAAACTCATTCAGGCAGGACAAGTTCTGTAGGTCAAAGGACCCTGTCGGTGGACTCAATTAGACAAAATAATATAATTTACAAAATACCTTGCAATGACTGTGAGTTAGGTCAACTACATAGGTCAAACTAGTAGGTCGGGGGTGGTCAGATTGCCTGTCAGAACATAAGAATTTAGCTACTGTAAGAATGGTTGACCCTGAGAAGATAAGTAATTTAGAAAAAAGCTCAGCAATTGCACTGCATGAATTAACACTTAACCACACAATAGGGTGGGAGAGGGTTAAAGTTCTAAAAAGTAATATAGATAGATGGAGAAAGAGGTTGATTACTGACTGAATCCTTGTTCATCAAGTCTACACCCAACACGTGCAATAGTAATGACTCATCACTCATGCCGGAAATATGGAAAATACTACTACCAATCATCAAGTCAAGCGATGAAAAATGATGGAACCACCATATGAAAGTTAGAAAGTTGTGTCAGTAGTGCCTTGATATGATTATGAGCTGCAGTAATAAATTGTGCTCGAAACCTGGTCATCAGTAGCAAATATGACTCTATAACACTGTGAGATTTTATCAATATACATTTTACCCATAATGAAACTGGCGATCAACCAATTTTACTGTCATGATAACAGCAACCTTGTTGTTTTCTACTAACTTAATTTTTGTTTAATCCAACGTTTCGTTCAGCAAACTGGTCCAAACTTCTTCAGGGAAACTAATCGAAATTAAAGTAATAAAAGTATATCTATAATGGACATCTCAGGTTTTAAAAACTTTGTCCAATCATCACACTGCACTAATAGAAACGGGATACAAGATCGACTTTGATAGGACTAAGGTTCTATAGAAAAATAAAAAAGATTGACTGCAGAAGCCCTACATAGTTAGGTAAATCCCAAAAGTTTGAACAGACATGAAGGGGTAATGTTAGCTGATGCATGGTAAGTCCTGATTCATAAATAAAAGTGGATACGTATCACTATTCAGTAATAATTATAATTATTATTATAATCTGCTTTACACAATACTTATAATACAGAATGGAATTCTCAGCATTTGTCACAATATTGCATCTGATCTCCTCAAAATATAAATAAAATTAAAACAAAATTAACCAGAGGAATTTGTCCACATTTACAGTATAAAGTAAAAAATATTCGAAGTACGAATTGAGAATAATAAACATAGTAATAATAATAATAACAGTGAGTTTGTTTCAAGCAGTATTGTCGATTCAGTTTGGAAATTTTAGCATGTTATAGATTATTGAATCTAATGTTCTATTGATATAGTATGGTGAGGGGAAATACAAAATTAATAGTTATAACACAGCTTAAATGTTCACACTTACGAAAAAATAAACAAATAAAAACAAAAAATTGTGAGGATTATAAATATAAGAAATACAATAACAATAAAGGTTGATGTTGTAAGGGTGGAGGAAATGGTTTATTTAAAAGTGCTAAGAAGGTTAGTTAGTTCATGCCTAAAACTATTTTCATCATATAAAGTACGTGCCGCCAAATATGGTATAGTGGAATTCGCATACTTAGACGTACGTGCATAAAGTCTTCTGAAAAGACTTCTTGTTTTACCTGAGGAGACACAAGGTTGGAGCTGCAGGTGCTGAGGTGGATGCTCACAGTCTGACAAAATTCCTTTAGCAAATTTGTTGCATGAAATCAAGTGCCTATCAATGATGATGTCAACGATATGGCCCAATAGAATACCACTCGCCCTACTGACAGTCTTAATTCAGGATTGTCTGCATCAGTTTATGAAGAGGCTAATAAATATTTTAACATTGTTGTCACGTGATCGGACAAGATGTGTCCTTTTCATTTATATACCTTTGTTATTTAATATTTTGACTAACTTTCCTAAAGAAATTTGGACCAGTTTGCCGGACACAAGAAACGTTGGAATTACTCACATCAATTTTGCTGAAATTTTACGAATATAATTTATATATATATATATATATATATATATACATAAATATATTCTCTCCTTCTCACCCAGGGCGGTCAAATCTTGATCACAGTTCATCTGGATGGATTTTTATTTGTTTGTTTGGTTCTTAACTCTTTATAACTCTTGCATTTCTTTCGATGTCTTATGTAATTTCATATTTTCCTTTGTTTCATGTTTCCTTTGTCCATCCTGATTACAACTCTTCCATTAAATTACTCATCTGATAACGTAACTTGAACACACTTATTCATGCAATAATTAGTATAAACAAATTTGACAGAAAAAGTTATTAAGTGGCACTAAATAACTGCTCAGTAAATATACCTATTTAAGCGATAAGAATAACGATAACTGAAATGTTATAAGGGGTAGAGTTGAAGTGGATGGATTACAAAATTATTAAAGGTTGTTTTATAAGTGAATTGATATCAAAAATATATTTTTTTTAATGTCAAGCATTGTCTAAAAATTTAAAAAATTAGGAGTACGATTACGATAAGAATAAAGATGTGAAGTGAAATGGAAAGAATTCAAGTGGTAAAATAATATAAAATGAAAACTACAAAGAACATTACTATGATCAAGGTAAAGAAAGGGGTTTGACAAAAAGTTTTTGAACACATAATTCAGGTTTCTGTTCATGTATAGCTAAAGCTTCGGCTATGCATAAGTGAAGAAAACGTAAACTTTTGGAGCGATTCGATTTCGCCATGTAGATAACCTTGGAGGATGAATCACGTAGGGCTGAATGACCAGACTCTAACAGGTGATCACAAATAGACGACTTCGCAGTTCTACGTTCGCCTTTCATTTTGTAATTCATCCACTTCAACTCTGTCCCTTATAACATTTTAATTATCGTTATTCTTATAAACAAATATGTTTGTGACAACTTATCACTTTTGTTGCCACCCTTCTTCATGAGAAAGTGATGTATAAATGCAATTGCCTAGTAAAGAGGAAAATGAATTTGCCGAAAAAAGCTTCTGATTTAACACTATTTATTTTCAAGTATTGGTTTATAGGGATTTTGTTTGATTGGTTGGAGGATTTCACCATGAGCTGACATCAGTTAGAGAAGCATTGGTAGGCAACCTGGGAGTACAGGACAGTTAGCTGTTTCGTCCTAGTTTGGGACGTCAGCTCATGATGAATTCCTCCAAACAATCAAACAAAATCCCCACAAACCGGCTCTTGAAAACTGATGTAATGCTAACTAGCGACTGGCTCCATTCAGGCAGTTACCTGCGGTTCCAGTGGGAAGCTGTGACCAGTAGGGTACAAAAGGTTGAAGGTGAGGGCAGTTACTCATTGCAGATATCACGATGTGGTCACGCTATGTCGTGCGTGAATTGGCAGAAGTTGGAATTCATGGGCTGACCATTGGATCGGGTGTTAGTGACTTAATGGTCAATGAGCTCTCCCTGTAACCAGAAGGCCCTGGTTTCGAAATCCGCGGTGTGGGTACACACTACTTATTTTGTTCTTTTCATTAATTTTCAAGAGTTGAGATTTGTAAGGATTAGATTTGTTAATACGAGTTTGACCACAGATTGATATCAGTTGGAGAAGCATTGAAAACCAGCCACAGGAAGTACTGGACAGCTGTTTCGCCAACTTAGTTTGGGAATCATCGGCAATGCGCACCCACTTCCTGGGTTTGAACCCAGGACCTTCCCGTTACAAGGCTAGAAAGCTGGTATACCATTCAGCCATTGAGACCCGATTACTCAATGGCCAGCCCATTCGTGATTTAGCGCAACTGGCACCAACCAATGTCATCGGCGGGATGTCCACCTCCAATCTCGATTGGATGGATCTCACTGGTCACGACTTCTCACTAGATTTCCTGGAAAGTCCGTCCTGTGACCAGTCGGTCGGTCGGTTTTCGACATAGAACTTTGCACATATGTGCGGCAGTTCAAGTCGCCACACTCCCTCAATGTAG